GCTACCAACCTTGCTTTGTACCTGTCTATTGATCCATCGGCTTTGTATTTGACGGTAAACACCCACCGGCATCCAACTGTTTTTTTTCCCTCCGGCAAGGATGTCACTTCCCAGGTATTATTCTTCTGTAACGCCAACATTTCTTCATCCATTGCATTTGCCCACTTTGGATCCTTTAGAGCCTCATCCACACGAGTTGGTACTTGAATAGCCTCCATATTGTCTATCAAGGTCTTACGCTCTGGTGCAAGACCATTGCATGAGACATAGTTGGCTATCGGATACTTTACTTTACCTTCCGGAGAAAACCTGTCAGGTGGCACCCCCGGATTTTGTCTCGGTGGCAGCTTATATGTATTTACATCAGTACTTGCATTAGTTACATAATCATCCACAATACTTACCTCAGGTTTATTCAGAGAAGAATCATTGGGCATCACCGTGGAGCTAGAGAGAGAGGGGGTTACACAAGTAGGCTCGACAATGAACTGTCCTGACTGCGGATCACTCTCGGCATCTTTTGCTTCTGACTGCATGCTGCTCTCGGCAGCAACTTCTGGCACGGCATGTATGATCACTGCCGCATTAGGCACGGCATCAGCATGCACGGCCTCAACATCAACCACAATATTTTCTCCCAAGTCCAACCATTCCAGATCACCACTAGAGCTTTCCCCCTGGTGATCTGAAGATGAAGATACGGGGGCATAAAAAAACTCCGATTCAGAAAAGGTCACATCCATAGTAACATACATATGCCGAGTCTCAGGGTGATAACATTTATATCCTTTTTGGTGAGATGAGAAACCAACAAACACACATCGAAGGGCACACGGATCCAACTTAGTGCGATGAATTTTCGGAATATGCACATAAGCCACACAACCAAATACCCGGGGCTTGAGAGTATGAGTAGACATCACCTGAACATGATGAGTGAGAACTTGAAGAGGAGTTCGAAAGTCAATCACCCGAGAGGGCATACGATTAATCATGTAGACCGCATAAGTAACTGCTTCAGGCCAAAAAATCTTAGGAACAGACGCGCCCAGAAGTAGAGCACGTGCCGTTTCTAAGATATGGCGATTTTTCCGTTCAGCCACTCCATTTTGCTGTGGAGTATAGGGACATGTTGTTTCATGGAGAATGCCTTGATCACAAAGAAACTCCGACAACTCACAATTAAGATACTCACCACCATTATCAGAACGAAGAACTTTAATTACAGATAAGTATTGTGTCCGAATCATTTGAGAAAAGGTTCGGAATACCATACCAACATCACTCTTATTTTTCACCACATATAACCATGTCATACGAGTGCAATCATCAACAAACGTAACAAACCACTTAATCCCAGAAGAAGTAACAACAGGAGATGGTCCCCAAACATCAGAGTGCACAAGTTCAAACGGTAAAGCTCTTTTATTCATACTAGGAGGAAACGAAGCCCGATGGCTTTTAGCAAGAATACATACTTCACAATGTAAGTTTGATTCATTTATTCCACTAAATAGACTAGGTAACATATGCCGTAAATACCCAAAAGATGCATGCCCTAACCGACGATGCAACAACCACACTTCTTGTAAATTACTAGACCAGGACGCTCGAACCGCATTAGCTCTGCCAGAAACGACGTCGTCCACATAGTACAACCCATCTCTCTTAGTGCCACGCCCAATTATCTCCTTAGTCTGAATATCCTGAAGGAGACAAAATGATGGATACATTAGAACAACACAATCCAATTGTTCAGTAACCTGTGGTATGGATAACAGATGATGGGATAAAGAAGGAACAAGCAAGCAATGATGTAGGGGAAGTGTAAGGGTAAGATGCACAGTGCCGGCACCACACACGGGTGCCAAAGTACCATTGGCAGTTGATATATTTTTCCTGTGAGATGTGGTCATGTATTGAAACATATTTTTATCATATGTCATATAATCCGTTGCACCAGAATCTAAAATCCAACCTGCCATTTAATAATACGCAAAATGACAATCACAAGTACATGGCAATCACAGCACCCTACCAATTACGGAACCACAAGTTGCAAGAACAAACAAGCAGCAGCCACTCACGGCAATTACCCACGGCAAAACAGACAGCAAGCAGATTGCAACAGTAGAGCAATATTCCCACAAGGCACAATACGAAATATAATACACGACACACTTGCTGCAATAAGTACAGCAGCAAAGACACAATACGCTGCAACAAAAAACACACAGCACACACGCAGCAGTTGTCTCTTCCTGCAGTCTTTGTTCTCCTTCGTTCCTCACGACACCAGCAGCACGCAATACACAGTAGCACACAGCAAGTAATTGACTTTGCTACAAGGATGCAGCGGGAAAAATTTGCTGTGTGTTTCCCTTTACGAAAGCAACAGCATGGCACACGAAGTCTTGGCAGCAACACACACACACGGCAGCAGCAACAGACACGGTACAATTGCAGAAAAACACAGCAATTTGTACACAACCCTCACGGCAGCAGCAAGGTATTGTGCTGCACAGCAATATACAGCAACAGACTGCACACACAGTAGTACCACACCCACACGGCAACCCTGTTTTCTGCAGAAGATTTGCAGGAATAAGGTCAACCAAGCACAGCGGAAAAGAAAACTAGGGTTTTGGCTCTTGATACCAAATAGAACTTTTACGGGAATTAATATTCTTCTATTACTTGTTTAGAAATATATATACATCAGTACTATTATAGTTTTACAAGGAAACAAATAACATATACACAAACCTACTTAATAAAGGACTCCTATTATTTACATTCCCTATTTTTCCTAATATTGACTCACGCTAACAAAATCACTCAGCCAAAAAGATATGGATAGGAATAGGGGTATTTTCAAATCACATATACATGAATATGTAATCCGATTCTGATGTCCGGACGGGTTCGATGATAAGACAAACTTCCTTATGACACGCTTACCAGAGGGTGTGGGGGTATCCGTCCGGCAGCTTAATTCGGCCATGATTTAAAGGATGTATCAGACTAAATTTCGAATCTTCAGACATAGTCAGCAGCCAACCTAAAGACGAAAAGTAAAGATTACCCTTGATTTAGTTGGAAAATCTTAACCTTTGTGTGGCTGTGAAACTTACGGGTGGTAGCACTCTCTTATCTTTCGAAAGCATAAGGAGTGGAAATTTATGTGTTGATCGTAATTCACTGGATAATTAGTTTTCTTTCGTCGCAGCACATCTCCATGATCCACTGCACCATAAAATCTTCCAAGGAATCCATCCGTTTAGCTACGGAGAAAATAAGCTCTTGAAGATCTGTCCAGTCAAGCATCAAGTCTTTTCATTTTTGTTTTCGGAAAATCAGCCATGAAAAAGGACTTTAAATCCAATATCAAAACAATTAATGGAGCAAAACTTTATTGAAAGGTATATGTTGCTATCTACGAATATGTTTATATATAAGCTTTTCCAATCTTGAGATTGTCTGTCCTCTTTAGGGGATTAGGAGAGAAAGTTTAATGTTGCAAATCTTTTTTTTTTTTTTTTTTTTTTTTTTTGTGTACTTTTCCTTTCGAACATATGAAGTTTAATCTCGAGAGAAGAGATTTAGTGACCATCGAAACTCATCCAATGCCAAGTTCTCTGCCCAGCTGACAGCCATTGCATATATACTTAATTTCTGTCTTAGACATGAAAATGTGATTTGCTAATTCTGCAGCAACGTTTAACTTCCTCACACCGAACATTATATTAAACTTGAATAGCATACAAATAGAGTTAAGAAAATTTTTAATGTCAAATGAAAGAATGGAAGAAGTTTGTACCAAACTTGAAATTCCTGCTTATCAAAGCAAACTAGATGTATGCTTTCTATCACTCATATTATGAATTTATGATGCCATATGAAGCTGCAATAATAGATTACTGTGGATGAGGATGCAACATCAATAAAGCAAGTTCTTAGCATGGCAGAAGACTTGATAATGATGTGAACTTGAAAGGTTAAATCGTGTTCCGAAAGTCTTAGTTTCTTGATTAAAAACCTTCGATCACGCAAGAGAGAACTAGAATCAATTCACGCACTGTACGGATGAGGAAACATTTTGCCAATGGTATTGATTTTGATTAACCATAACTTTGCTTCTTCTGGTAAAATTAATTAGTATATCTTCATTGAATAATACCAGATCGCTGTGCAGAGCATGCGTGCTCTATCAAGCTAACTGATCCTCTCAATATAGGTGTATATCCTAGGGAATCATCAATGTTCTGAATATTATGCTTCTCCAGACAGATTTCTGTTAGAAAAATGGAAAATGAACAACAAAACTGCTAATCATTCTGTTTAAAGATAAGCATAGCTTGGGGCAACACTAAAAAGCAATGTGTTTATGCAAGTTTGTGAGGTGTAATCGATCCATACTCACGCAGTCTACGGACCTTTTTAAGCTAGAAAGCAGGATAAATTAGTAACCTACAGGTGCAACCACAGTAGCTTAGAAGGACAAGAACCCGAAAAACCAGGGTTGCAAACTTCAAAAGCAAGTAACAAAAAAGTATAGGGCATCAATGTTTAGATATGTCAAATTAATTTTCTTATCAGGGTATTAATGCATTGAAACAGGACTATAACTCTAGATTTTATTTCCTGTCACGGATTTTTAATCAGGTTTCATTTTTCAGCAAGTTGAAGGGGGGGGGAAAAAAAAACCTAATATGTAGTAGTAGTTAGCTAGGGCACTTGATAAGATTCTAGAGGTGATGTGCTTTCTTTCTCGAGAACTGTTGAAATTAAAGTGATGCAGTTATCATACTTCTACTAATTTGTTTACAAGGAAAGGGGGACTGCATGGAAAAAGATTTATAGCTAGTATCATGAAGGGCACATGCATTTTTCTTAGCAGCATTGATGGTATAACTATGATGGAGGTACAATAGGTACAGTACTCCATATAGGTGCATGTGCGAAAACATCGAGGGCCAAGGAGAGAGGGGGAGAGAGTTTGTAGCTTGGAAGAGAAAATATCATCAATGATGAGCGAATGTTTCTTGCAGCTTTTGAAAGCCTTCAACTGCACGCACGATATGCATTGTTTGGAAGGCCATCTACTTGCAGATTAGTACAACTCTATTTAATCTCCAACCAGCCATGTGATTCTTCCGCAGGAGACAATGGCTACTAATAATTCTCAGTGTTTTTGGGGCCTTTTTCTTGCACTTTCACTTTATTTTACTCACTCAACTTCCACACCTCATGTAACTTTTCTCCCCTAAAGCAGTTCGCCTTTTCGTGCCTACTTTCTAATTATTATCCTGTTTACTCACTGATTTGGTCTCTGCAGGTTTATATAGTCTATTTGGGGCACAACTACAATGTTCATGTTCCTCACCTCACCTCAAACCATCATCTTCATCTCCTTTCCAAAGTTTTTGCAAGGTTTTTGTTCTAATTCTTTGGCCCGCCCATCTATTTAGCGCTTCAAACTCATTTCCTTCTGGCTCTATTTCTCAACCACTACATCACTTAACTTGGTGATCTTATCTCTCTCTTTGTACTCGTTATATTCAGTGAAGAAGATGTTAAGCAATCCATGCTTTATAGCTACAAGCACAGTTTCTCGGGGTTTTCAGCTAAGCTCAATTCTTCTCAAGCAACCGCCTTGGCCCGTAAGCTAGATAATTATTACCCTTTTCTTTTCTCTGCTTTTAATGCTGCTTTGTTAAAGAGTTGAATGGTGCACCTTAAATCAATAAGCTTAACTTCAGTGTTTAAAAAACATGCATTAATATATAATTGCAGAGATGGAAGAAGTGATATCAGTGTTTCGAAGTGAGACAATGCAGTTGCACACAACTAGAAGCTGGGACTTCTTAGGCCTTACCTTAAGCAGTAGCAGCACTAGTCCTGAAGGGACTCCATTGCAACAAGCCTATGGTGACGACATCATTGTTGGGGTCTTCGATACAGGTTTCTTTTAAATTAATTACTAGGGGAAAGCTGCACATTTTCTACCATTGACAAAACCAAGCTAAGTTTTTATAGTTTGAACATCTGTTTAGGTATATGGCCTGAATCCGATAGTTTCCAGGAAGAGCCACGGATGAGGCCTATCCCCTCAACTTGGAAGGGAGGGTGTGCTAGAGGAGAAATGTTTGAGCCAGAAAAAGCATGCAACCGCAAGCTAATTGGTGCTCGCTACTACCTCAAAGGTTTTGAAGAAGAATATGGGCCGCTAAACAAGAGTGGGAATCCAGAATATCGATCAGCTAGAGATTTTTTAGGTCATGGTACACACACAGCCTCAACAGCAGTGGGTTCAATAGTGAAAAACAATGCAAGTTTCTTTGGCTTAGCCTCAGGAACCGCTAGGGGAGGAGCACCGAGGGCTCGTCTAGCAGTGTATAAAGTATGTTGGGGAAAGGACTATGATGGGAGGTGCTCTGAAGCAGACATTCTTGCAGCTTTCGATGATGCTTTGCACGATGGAGTTCACGTGATATCAGCGTCGTTTGGATCAAAGCCGCCATTGTTGCCGCTGTTTATATCACAAGCTGCAATTGGTTCATTTCATGCAATGCAGTTAGGTGTTAGTGTGGTGTTCTCTGCAGGTAATGAAGGGCCAGATCCCTCACAGGTCTCAAATGTTGCTCCTTGGGGAATTTGTGTAGCTGCTTCCTCTGTTGATCGAATGTTTCCAACCCGAATAATCCTAGACAATAAGCTCTTTGTTATGGTAATCAATACATATAAATCATGGATTATACATGGCATTACATGTTAATTATGAACCAATGATGAACAAGTCAAAGTTTACTTTCTTTGTGGTGATACTCTAATTTAATTAACAGTGGGTCACAGCCCTAATCATTTCGTTGATAGTTGATACATATTTCAGCACTTTAATTAGTTGAGTCATCCATAAAGCTCCATTTCTGTACAGGGGGAAAGCTTTATTACCACACCTATTAAGGCAAAATTAGCAGATGCAACCACATATTTTGTCAATGGGTGACCTCTCTCTTTCTCTCATAATTTTCCATCTGATCTATTAATCACTCGTTAACTATGTAATCTATTAAATCAAAATGCAGGGTTTGCAGGCCAGAGAATTGGATAAAATCAAAGTTTGCGGTCGGAAGAGTAATTCTATGCTTCTCAAGCATAGGACCATACGAAATTGATGAGGCAGAAGTAGCTGCCAAGAAAGCGAATGCAACGGGTTTGATCTTTGTGGAAGCTGAGACGAGGCAGGTTGATATCGACATCATTCCCTCAGTCCATGTCAACCTTGACCAGGGGACTAAAATCAAGCACTATCTTGCTCAATCTCCCACGTAAGTAGTTCTCTAGAGTGGTCAACTGCACTTTTTAAAAATGTAAATATGTTGTTGATATTATTGATATTGTCGATACTAAAAACTAATTGTTGGCAAAGTTGTCGACAAACTTGATTACATTTCAAATTCGTGACATGTGTTAATATTGTGAACTATACCACAATACTACACAGGAAACCTGTCGTGCAGATAGAAGCTAGTAAAACTGTCATCGGTAAGTCTCCAGCGCCTAGAGTTGCATACTTTTCTTCGAGAGGACCAAGCTCACTTGCACCTGATATTCTCAAGGTATCAATCTGCATCACGCTGAGTGTATATATACCATAAGATGTACTTTTATACGGCCGATTATATGTATATGGATTATACAGTAACATAACATGATCCCCATTCCCACTATGGCGCATTACAAACAGCCAGACATAAGTGGTCCAGGGGTCAATATATTGGCAGCATGGCCTCCTCAAACATCTCCCACTTTGACACTTGATGATAAACGTTCTGTGAGCTGGAATTTTCAGTCAGGAACATCAATGTCATGCCCTCATGTGTGCGGAGTCGTTGCCCTTATCAAATCTGCCCATCCAAATTGGTCTCCTGCAGCCATTAGATCTGCTCTCATTACAACAGGTAAGTGTTGAGAGTATCTCAAATTGGAGATGTAAAGTCTTGCATAAAGTGCTTGAAAATTCTTGGTTTTGATATGGATGCTCACATTCTATTAGTATGCACGTACAAAAACAGCTATTGATAATCATTCATGATCATTTGTCACAGCAAACACGAGGGACACATCCCTTGACAGCATTCTAGCAGATGGATCAACGAAAGCCTCCGATCCCTTTGACATTGGTGCCGGCCATATTGACCCCATCAAAGCCATGGATCCAGGCCTCGTTTACGACATGAAAACACGCGATTACATTCTGTTCCTCTGCAACATTGGCTACACCGGTGATCAAATCAATAAGATTGTTCTTTGCTCTCCCGGAACTGATACAAGCTGTCCTCAAGTGCCAACTTCAAATTCCCACATAAACTACCCCTCCATCACAGTTTCCAATCTCCAATACACCGTGACTATCAAAAGAAGCGTCCGTAACGTGGGGAAAAATAAGAATGCGATTTATTTTTGTACCGTTTTGGAACCTGATGGAGTAGAGGTACAAATATGGCCTAGAGTTTTGATATTTTCATGGTTCAAACTAGAAAACACATATTATGTGACGCTCAAACCGCATAAGAAGTCTCAAGGGAGATATGATTTTGGAGAAATAGCGTGGTCCGATGGCTTCCACAAGGTCAGGAGTCCCTTGGTTGTATCTGTCAACACTACATGCTGCGACTCTTATGAATATTTGCATCACTCCTATTATCGTAATTTAAGCTCATTTTAAATGTCGTTGAGAACTATTATCGGCACTCTAGAAAGTTATTCTGCACTCGATGTGCACGACGACTTTCATCAATAACAACTCACTACATTGGTTTTTTGTTTTTATATTTTTCAATTCTAGGGGATAAATTTAGTTGTAACATTTCTATCATTATGGACAATAAAGTAATAAACAAAACGTCCTGAGTCATGTTTTATGATTTACTTTGTCAAACGTGATGGTTGACCCTGGCATGCAGAAAATATTTGTCCTACTGACTCTTTAGGTTATCTTCAATAGAGAGGGCTAGAGGTCTACAAGTAAAAAAAAAAAAAAAAGGCCTCATTTACAAAAAACTCATCTCCAACCGATGATCAGACTATAATTCTATAGAGCTCATTAGGCTATTATTTGGCTAAATAGGTATTAGGCTGGCTAAATGTGGCTCTCCACTAAGCCCTTATTTTGGCGCTCAGCTCATCAGTTGCAATAATTAATTCAAATTCAACGACTAAATTTGAAAACATCTAACGTCAGTTTAATTAAATTAAGCAATAATTAATTCAAATTCAACGGTTAGATTTGAAAACATCTAATGTCAATTTAATTAAATTAAGCAATAATTAATTCAAATTTAACGGCTAGATTTGAAAACATCTAACGTCAGTTTAATTAAATTAAGCAATAAATTTAAAGTATAACTTAAACCTAATAAATTATTGAGGGGTTATGTTTAGCCCTTACTGTTGGAGATGATATATGAGTATGACCTGACATTATTAATTTAAAAATAATATTTTCTCAGGCTATAATTCTGGACATGATTATATTTAACCTTTTCGGTTGGAGATAGTCTTAAAGAGAATCAGGAGAGACCATATAGAATTTGGAAAAAAAATGCAATTTCCTGAGCTCTCTATTTGTCTGTTGGACTGCATAGCCACGTGAAATGACGAGCAAGTATGAGAATTTTTTTCTATTTTAGTTAGAACTGAACCGAATTAGTTATATTTTTCGATTATTAAGGTGAACGGTGCACAATCGGACCCTCCTCATTTCTATCGAAGAGAATCAAGGTTATGTTACATGGACAAAAAGTAACTATAATTTAGCTTATTTTAATTTCACAAACTCAGAGAGAGTAGAACCGTAGAAGAATGATCGTTGGTGAACTTATGAAAAATCAAAAGGTACTTGTCAATTGATGCCTCGAAGAGGAAGAGACTATTTTATCGTTGCGTGATAGATCTTGGAATGTGCTATCCACACATTTTATTTTATTTCTTACATATTCTTTGTTAATTTTTGTCCGTTGGTATTTTTCAGTTTATCCGATCCGACACCCAAAAATTAAAAGGATGTGTGAAAAGTAAAAAAAGATGTGTAGATATCACAACCTAGATCTTTGTAGGGTTTTACCACATACCCGAGTGCGACGGGGACATCGATGTCATTTTGTAATTAGGGTTTTCAAACTCCTCCTAAGAGGGATAGATTCATTCAGATTAAGATCACCAAGCCAATCACATTTCACCTTGACCCGGAAAGACCAAAAAGGACATTGTGGAGCCCCAATTACTAAAGGCCACGTGGATAATCTGCCCTATAGGAGTGGCCCGATGAGCTCACAACGTGACCCGCAGGTGATTGAATGCGAGTGTTGTAGAGGAGCCGTGGTGCTATTTGAATCACCGCTTTTGGATGAACAAAACCCTCTTTCCGAAAACCCAAACCCTTGGCGGCTGTGAGACCCATTGTTCTCTCTTATCTCTCTCTCACTCGGACTCTGTCTCTGAGCATCGAGATTTCTCTCTCCGATTGCTAAAACCCATATCACCTCTCTCTGGGATTTAGGGTTTTTGGTAATACTTGGGGCAGAGAAGGAGAAGTAGAAGATCTAGCTATCAATTGACGGTCATGGCCACCGTTGCTCCTCCTGTGGAACGTATCCTAATCTAAAACTTTAGCCATCTGGGTATTGTATGTTTTCGATTTTTCTTATTCTAATTGGATCTGTTCTTTTGTGATTGGTTTTCGATGAAACTAGATCTTCTCTACCTTAAATTTGTAGATCGCAGAGAGTTTCTTCTATGGCGTTTGTTTAGCTTTTGAATTGTGGCGCTTTGTGTTGATTTTATGGATTTTTATGCTTGATTTGTGGTTTTGTAGACCGTCTCTGTAAATTTACGGCTGTATGTGTAACAATTAAAGTTCTTGGTATTGGTTTGCTTAATTTTTTGAAATTGGTGTTGTTTGATAAGTAAAGATTGGTGTGTACTTGATTGAATTGAAGTTTCATATCAGGTGATTTTTCTGAATTGTTTATAACTTGTGGATGGACTGAATGATTTACTGTTGAATTTTACCTCCGCGTAAAGTGGTAAAATTCAAGCTATGTTCATTGCTCCAGGACCTATATTTTGTTTGTGTTTGTAGATTGTATATGACTATTACAATAGACACAGTAAAACACGCACTGACAATTAGACATCTCGATCGATTTTACAAAATTGTGTATTTCCTTCACTGTTTACGTTTTTTAGAAGCAGCAGATTTGCTACAGAAGATGTCATTAGACTCTCAAACCAAGACTCTGGAAATTCCTGAGCCTACCAAGAAGGTACCGTACAATTTGACCACAAGAATTGGATCGTGAAAAAGTATTAACAAACTGCATTTGAAACATTCTGCCATTTACGTTATGTGTGATTCTAAGGTTAATTTCATTTTCATTCAGCCTTCTGTTAACCAATACGGTTCTATTGATTCTGGCAATGCTGCAAATGGACAGATCCCATCAGAGCGCTCTGTTACCCCTTTGTTACCTGATTTTGTGGATCCATCTATGTGCTATCTCCCGAATGGTTATCCGTCTACTGCGTATTACTATGGAGGTAAAACTTACGGCTGAACTCTTTCTTAGCTTGAGAATGGTTTATTGATTTATTGGTGGATTGTTAGATTCTACTTGAAATTCATGTGTACTTTCTGATAAGGAAATTCATGTGTATTTTTTGATAAGGTAATTCATGTGTATGATATGGATGGTTTTGTGAATTTCTTTTAGGCTATGATGGGACTGGCAATGAGTGGGATGACTACTCGAGATATGTAAATCCTGAGGGAGTAGAGATGACTTCTGTAAGTTCTTTTTCCCTTTTGGGTAATGTTTCATGGTTATTGAGTTTGATTTGGGTTTAACATGAGTAAGTTCATTCTCTTAAGTTTATACTTTTGTAATCTGCTTGTGTGTTTTTAGGGTGTTTATGGGGACAACGGGTCTCTGTTATACCACCATGGGTATGGGTATGCACCATATGGCCCATATTCTCCGGCGGGTTCCCCTGTTCCGACTATGGGAAATGATGGTCAGTTATATGGACCTCAGCAGTACCAATACCCTCCTTATTTCCAGCCTCTGACTCCAACCAGTGGACCGTACACTCCCAGCCCTGCTGCCCCTCAAACTGATGTCTCCACCTCTGCAGCTGCTGACCAAAAGCCTCTTTCTGTGGAAACAGCAAATGGAATTTCTAACGGCATTTCGAACGGTGGAAGTGTGAAAGGAAATAGCGTTTCAGCTCCCTTATCAACATATCAAAACTCGTCTTTCAACTCCAATGGTTCATATGGAAGGGGTGCTTTGCCAGGACGTGTTCCTACTCCTGGATACCAAGACCCAAGATTTGGTTTTGATGGGTTGCGTTCTCCTCTTCCATGGTTAGATGCCCCACTTTTTTCAGATGGGCAACCTAGACCAGTGACAAGTACAACAATTACTTCGTCAATCTCCAATGGCAATACCAATTTGTCCTCGAGGAATCAGAATTACCGTCCAAATTCTCATTACATGGTATGTTGGTCATATGCTTTATATTTAATTATTTTTATATACTTTGCTTCGTAGTCTTACTTCTGGAGACTACCTTATTCCACCAGTGGAAATGTCATCTGCATTGTATGACATGACTGTTCAATTTTGGCCTTGGCTGGAAACCAAACCTCTAACCTTTTGGTGTGAGAACATCTAAGGCAGGGAGGAATCTTGTTATTGGATATCCTTTAACTTGTTGAAGCCTTGATGGTTAACACTTAGCAGTCTTCCAATCTAATAGATGTTCTGTGCAGCTGAATCTGAATATTTACTTTAAATGTTCTACTGAGATGTGTTCACCCTTACAAAACAAATTTCATTTATTTTATCCACAGGGTTTGCACCACCCAAGGCCATTGTCAGGAATGGGTACATCTCAAGGGTTTATAAATAGGATGTACCCAAGCAAGCTGTATGGTCACTATGGAAACACAGTTAGATCTGGTATGGGCTTTGGGTCTCATGGTTATGATTCACGAACCAATGGACGCTCATGGCTTGCTGTTGACAACAAGTATAAACCCAGGGGAAGAAATGGTGGCTACTACGGATATGGTAATGAGAACATGGATGGATTAAATGAACTAAACAGGGGACCTCGGGCGAAGAGCTCCAAGAATCAAAAGGGATTTGCCCCTAATGCATTAGCAATCAAAGGGCAGGTACCAACGAATCCTAGTAATGATGAGGAAAAGGAAAAAATCAGTGTCCCAGACCGAGAACAATACAACAAAGCAGATTTTCCCGAGGAGTATACCGATGCCAAATTCTTCATCATTAAGTCATACAGTGAGGATGATGTTCATAAGAGCATTAAGTACAATGTTTGGGCCAGTACGCCAAATGGCAACAAGAAGCTTCATACTGCGTACCAGGAGGCTCAGGAGAAATCTGGTGGCTGCCCTGTTTTTCTTCTCTTTTCGGTAAGCATCATCCATTGCTGTTAGGACTTGTGAGGTTATAAATTAAAGTTTTATTGGGTTTGTAGTAATTTACTTGTTTTCTTTTTAGGTCAATACCAGTGGACAGTTTGTTGGCCTTTCCGAGATGTTGGGCCCCGTTGATTTTAACAAGAACTTGGAATACTGGCAGCAAGACAAGTGGAATGGCTGTTTTCCTGTCAAGTGGCATATCGTTAAAGATGTTCCCAACAGTTTGCTGAAGCACATTACTCTTGAAAATAATGAGAACAAGCCTGTTACCAACAGTAGGGACACTCAGGAGGTATGTCCACATCTTAGTGTTTCATTTTTTCTTTGACCTTCTTTATTCTTCCCTTGTGAATGTTAATCTTATGGGTTTATGTAGGTTAAATTGGAGCCAGGGCTTAAAATAATTAAAATCTTCAAGGAACATATAAGCAAAACTTGCATTCTGGATGACTTTGGGTTCTATGAAGCCCGTCAGAAGACAATCCAGGAGAAGAAGGCTAAGCAACAGCAGTTTCAGAAACAGGTAAATATGCCTTCCTGTTAATTTTGCTACCCCTTTTGTATTCTTTCTTATTTTTTCCTTCTTATTTTGCTGTTAGGAGATAAAGTTTAACAATTCCAAATACTTGACATTTACCCTGTTGAAAATACCAAAAAACAGGTATGGGAAGGAAAAACCAATGATGAGAAGAAAGTGGTGGCAAATGGGCAACTGAAGACTCAAAATTCATTGGAGGTTCCCGCCGAGTTGACCAAGGAATCTGTTCCGGCTGTGAATGGAAGTGAGGACCCGAAAGTTGCAGAAAATGGATCAATTGCATCTGGAGATGCCCCAAAGGGTGCTAAGCCAGTTGTGTCAGAGAAGAGGGTTGTAGCGAACGGGGTTGCGAATGGTTGATAGTTTCTGCCTTGCGTAATGGCGGTCCATGCTCTTGTGGTGTTCTTGTAAAGGTTTGCGTTGGAAGTGTGCTGGTGTTAATGAATATGTTGAAGAAAACTAGTATCCAATGCTCTGCCTACTTGTGTGGACCGCCGTCCTGATGACCATGACTTGCCCTGCTAGAATAGTCAATAGTTCATTGAGGAATGGCAAGTCAATAATGTCTAGAATTTCTTGTATCTTGTTCTTGAGGCAGGCTAGGGATCCGAGTAATCGTAGTAGTTCCACCCCTCCTCCCTCCCCCACAGTTTTTCATTTGGGTTGTCTATTTACAGGTGTTTTCGCTGAAGCTCTAACAGGTTTTGGGTTGCCTAGGATTTTGGGTTTAGGGTTTCTTCTATTCCAGTCGTGCTTATATCTCTAGTATGTGTTTTTTTTTTGTTTACTTTAATTTTTTTTTAACTTTCTCCATGTTTTACCTTTTGCCTTTTACTAGTTTGGTTATTTCCTGTCTTGTATGTCTAGATCATACCTCCTCCTCCGTTGGGGAGTAAGTTTTTTGCGTTTGTATTTGTAAGTGAGCTAGAAGCAAGGTGGGAAAATATTGCAATATAGTCAGCTTTAAGAATTTACTTTGTTTCGTGTCGTGTCTCTGTTTGTTGTGCTCATAGAATTATTTTGCTGAAAATTTTAGTGCCAGAAATTAAATCAAAGGGGATACCTTGACTACTTGTAAAAGTTGGTATGGTAGCTATTCATTTTCTTTCCTTTAGCTTTATTTTGTTGAAAGCAATAGCATCGCATCCTCTGGAAACTAACTTATGAATTATGATGGAGAAGAGGATAAGCTACACTGGCCCTTTTGTTACGGTCTGGTATGCATGATTCATATGTAAATAACTTTTATAAACCAATCACTATCCTTCCTCTCTTTGCTAGGGCTTACGATGAAGAGTCGCGTTGGATACTAATCCAACCGTTTAAAATTGCACCCTAGTAAATTAGTAATACGTAGGGCAAATTTTCTGAACAAAACACTAGTTAAAAGTACGAGTAAAATTATTTGTCGCTATATTTGCCTCACCATGTCTGAAAGGTACTTGTAGATTTTGTTGGAGGAGCCAAATGTCCCTTATCATTGGTGTCTATGAAGTTTTTCAAGTCTAAAGTCTTTGAGATTAGCTCAACCGGTTAGGAGGGTATGGCCTACTAAATTAGGGTTATGAATATTCGAATCATGGAGTTCTCTATTTTTGAAGAGTTATCTAATAGAATTATATTGTTGTATCGAGGCTAATACTGGCCCAAACTCGCCCTGTACCAATACAAAATATTAAATGTGTCATGCTTGTTAGACTAATTGATCAACATAATGTATTTGTACTCGAGTTTGAATTCTCGTCTTATAAATTACAATATTTTGAAATTAAAAAGTTATTTTTGTCAAGATAAAAAGGATGTAAATAATCTAACATATCTTTAGCCCTTTAGAAGAAGAATTTTTTTTCTTCATATATTTAGATAAATCATAATATTTTTGTTGGGATTTGTTGATAAAAGGATATTCCATAATTCATATTATAAAGAGAGATTATATTCACAATCCCAAATTACTTATTTCACATTTTTTTAATTTTTTAATAGTTTCTACACATGACTAACACTTGATAGGAAAATATTAAAAAATTAAAAAGATATGGGAGAAGTAATTTAGGATGAGAATATAATCTCCCATAAACAGAGAAAATATAAATACCACGGCTAAAGCCAAATTTGAATGAATGACTAGATTAGGTACGCTGCTAAACCAAGACATCTATAAATTTCTCCCTCTTCCCAAAAACCTCTGTAAAACCCCTAAAACCCTTTCGTGTTTTAAGCAAGCAGCTGAGGCCGCTCTCTCAAGAGTCACTCTTCGTCATGGCGACCACCGTTTCCCCGCCTGCGGATCGTATCCTTACACTTTCCACTGATTCTTCGTTTTTTGGGCTTCTTTCAACTTTTTGTTTTCGTATTTAGGAATGTTGGCTTTGTTATACATGTATGTGTGTGGATACATCACTAGATCTGCCACTTGCTTCGTCTTTGAGTGCTATTAGGGTTTCTCTGTGACATAAAAGCTGTTGCTTTTCTACTTTTGAATTGGGATTTTGTATTTCTTTCAAAAAAAGTTCTGCTCTTATTTTTATATGAGTTGTATTTTCCGCTTGTTTGTATCTACTGTTGTATTTTGTATTTCCTTGACCCTCAGGGTTTTCTTCAGAAGCTGCAGACTTGCTGCAGAATTTGGCCTTGGAATCTCAGACCAAGGGACCTGATGATATCCCTGACCCTGCCACTGCCAGGAAGGTAATTCTCGTCTCTGCTTTTATTCCCTCGTCTTTATTTTTTAAAATAATTATAAACTTTTTTCGTTTTAACATGTGAATAAACTGTAATGGAGATTGATCGATTGATCAGTGAATTTGTGTTTCGAGCTTGATTATCAATTTCGTGATTTTCAGCCCATTGTCGTGACTGCTAAGAGCAAGTCTTATGTTCAGTCTACATCCCCATTACATAAGGATTTTATGAATCCATCTGCGTGCTATCTCCCTAATGGTTACACACCTTCTGCCTATTACTATGGAGGTAATGCTTATGTGCTGTCTTCCATTATCACATCTGTTATTGGATTTTATTATATAAGTGCTCAGCTACGAGTTTCGAATTCCATTGTCATGTTGAAAACCCATTAGGCAGTGAACGCTCTTATGGTTTATATGGTATTGATGATTCTGTTGTTGATGGTCTGGGTTTTATAGGCTATGGTGGGACTGGAAATGAGTGGGGCGGGATCTCAAGTTATGTTAATCCAAATGGAAGCGATGTGAATTCTGTGAGTTTTACGTAGTCTGTTTTGTCAAAGGGTCTCTACCTACCAGAGTTGTATTTTTCTGTTTATATATTCTTACACCTCTCAGGTGATTTGAATTCTAAGGTGGATATTCTCTGAGAAACTCTTTTGTATCCTGGCATCATATCATATAATGCTTGTTGCATATTTCAGGCTGTCTATGGGGATAGCGGTTCTTTTTTGTGTCATCATGGTTATGGTTATGCACCCTACGGCACATATTCGACATCGGGGTCCCCAGTTTCAACTGTTGGAAGTGATGGTCAGCTTTATGGACCTCAGCAGTACCAATATCCTCCGTATTTTAAGTAGCTGAAACCTAACAGTGGTTCACACACCCCTAATTCAGCTGTTCCTTCCCAGGGGACTGTCTCTACAGCGAAGGATGCTGGCCAAAAGCCCTCACTTGTGGGAACAGCTAATGGGAATCCTAATGGTGTTGCGACCAGTGTGGGCAAGAAGGGAAATACTCCTTCCGGTTTCTCAAAACCAACAAATAAAAACTCATCACTGAATGTAAAGGGTTCCTTCGGTGGACACTTTGATACAATATATGGTTTTGATGGGTTGCTAACTCCTACCCCATGGTTTGAATGGCCAATGTGTTCAAATGGACTGGGTAAACCAATGACTGGAAATACAGTCAACAGAACTCCATCTTCCAAGAATCAGACTTCCCGATCAAATTCTCAATTCATGGTACGCTTGCCTATCACTGTTTACATTTCGTACTACTTTCTTTTTGCTTCCCTCCTTCCCGGCTAGTTGAAACATATATAGTTAGGTCTGAGAAAGTTGGGACAGATCTCCAAGTAAAATTGGAATGAAATGTCACGCTGACCCGTTCTTAGGATTAATCAATCTTCTGTTCAAATGTTTGTACCTAGTATATCTGTGTGATATTAAACACATTTACCTGTGATCTGGTTAATTGAACAGCGAGTTAACTACAAGCTTCAGATTTTTCCCTTTTGAATTTGGATGGGGAACCAAATGGGTAGTAATAGTAGCTTTTCTTGGAGTTCACCTCACTGGAAAATTGATTGATCCGATTGCAACCCTCCTTTTTTATTACTAGTTATGCTTTAGGTCATATTTCATCTATTGTGGAGTGATTTTATATTTGACGGAATGATCTGACTTTTATAGATTGTTCTTGGAGGTGGCCTCTCAAGGATTTCTGTTACGTGACTTTGTAGGGTTTGCACCACACGAGGATGGGGTACGGTATGGATACAGCTAACGGACTTGTGAATGGAATGTATACCAATGAATTGTATGGTCAGTATTGGGACCCAATTAGCCTTGGTATGGGATTTGGAGTCAATGGTTTTGGTATGCATAGAAATGGAAGTGGGTGGACAGCTCTTCAAAACAAGTATAAAACCAGCGGGCAAGGCAGTTCCTTTCGCTTTGGTAACCACGACTTAGAAGGCTTGGATGAGTTGAACAAGGGACCTAGAGGTAAAAGTTCAAGAAATCAAAAGGGAAATTCACCTGATGCTGTAGCAGTTAAGGGGAGTAACACACCGCTGAATAAAGCTGATGATGAGAAGGATGCAATTAGCATAGTGGCAGAGCAGGAGCAGTACATCGGGACAGATATCTGTGATCATTATGCTGATGCTAAGTTCTTTGTTATTAAGTCATATAGTGAGGATGATGTCCATAAGTGTGTCAAGTATAATGTTTGGGCCAGCACACCAAATGGAAACAATAAGCTTCATGCGGCATACCAGGAGGCTCAGGAGAAATCAGGTGGCTGCCCTGTGTTTCTGTTTTTCTCGGTGAGCACCATTATCCACTGCATTAGTCCATTATTTCATTTGTTGCTTTCCTTGGCTTAGCTGCTTCTTCTTTCCCTAGGTGAATGCCAGTGGCCAATTTGTTGGCATAGCAGAGATGGTGGGGCTGGTAGATTTTAACAAGAATGTGGAATATTGGCAACAAGACAAGTGGACTGGCTGTTTTCCAGTTAAGTGGCACATTGTAAAGGATGTACCCAACAGTTTGCTAAAGCACATTATCCTAGAGAACAATGAAAACAAACCTGTCGCTAACAGCGGGGACACTCAAGAGGTATGTCTACTTATTTTCTTCATCTTGTTATTCCTTTATCTTGTCTGGGGTTAAGCTTTATGTGTTTACACAGGTCAAGCCAGAGCAGGGGCTTAGAATGATCAAGATATTCAAGGATCATTCCAGTAAAACAAGCCTTTTGGATGATTTTGAGTTCTATGAAGCTCGCCAGAAGACAATTCAGGAAAATAAAGCAAAGCAGCAGATCCGGAAACAGGCAAGACTTTTGCCCTTCACCCAGTAATTCTTATTTTAGAAGCGTAGTTTTATCCTTTCCCTTCAGGACCTCCATGCAATGCAACTGTTTCGTATGCATTAAGCTTTTTCTTTTCTTACTGCTACATTTGTAATTGCTATTAATTAAGCCACTTTGATTGAGAAGAATTGATTGTATTCTCTGTTGATTATCTAAATAAAGGTATTGGATGGGAAGCCAAGTGATAGAAGAAATGATGGGGTAAATGAGGCGCTCAAATTACTAGATTCATTGGGAACTGCCTTAGATTTGATTAAGGAAACGACACTAAGTGCTGAGACTGGTGAAGAACTGAAGTTGTCGGAGAATGGATCAGTTGCTGAAACAGGAGGTAATCCCAAGGGTCCAGAACTAGCTGTGACCAAGATGATCGTAACAAAAGAGGTTGCAAATGGTTGCTA